TTAGCCGTTTCTCTAACTGCTATGATGTGTTTTTAGAGGTTAATATACTTTTGAAAAGGAAGCATTATATATTCTCAGATTTTACTGAAAATTACAGACATTACTAAAAGAATCACTGTTTGACCAAGACAGTAGTAGTATTTATTGAGAACTTACATATACATTTCACATTATTTTCTAAGGTAATGCTGTGTAAAACATAGGAATAGAATTATGGTGCTGAGCCTGCAAATTGCTCTGTTTAAAAATCAATTAAGTATACGTTGTATTTTCTTTCTCTCACTAATGTGGTAACTGTGTGGAACTCTGAATTGCTATAGAGATGGAAACAGCTTCCAAATATTAATTACTAGGTATTTTTCTCCTGGATTCATGTAGTAACTTCTAATATCTGTAAGTCCAAAATGTAACATGATGTTAAGAGTGTCCAGACTTGGGTTCCAGTTAACCTTTGTGCATGTGTGCGCTCGAGTTCATGTAGAAGCTGTACTCTTTTCTTGGCTAATGAGTATGTTATGGCGCTCATGATGGTGAACAGTATCAGCATAGATTCAAGTGACTTTTGTGGTCTTGGGGATAAATTACACAGTATGTAGTGTCCTGTATTAAATAAGTCACATGAGATATTCAACACCTCAGGACTCCAGCCTTGTGCCAACTCTTTATTTTTTATTTTTTATTTTTTCGAGACAGGGTTTCTCTGTATTGCTTTGGAGCCTACCCTGGAACTCTGTAGACCAGGCTGGTCTTGAACTCACAGAGATCCGCCTGCCTCTGCCTCCTAAGTGCTGGGATTAAAGGCGTATGCCACCAGCGCCTGGCCAGCTGTGTTTTTTAATATATTCATTCTTTGAGAATTTCACAATGCAATACAATATGTTTTAATAATAACAACCCCCCTCTCCCGTCCTATCTCCTCTCAGACCCCCTACCCTGACCCAGTCAGGGTGCTTTAGTAAGTCTTTTTTTCCTGGTACCCACAGCTGATTCTGTTTTGAATGACTGGTCTAGCTCTAGAATTGCAGGCATTTACTCATGTAGATTAAGGACGGAAGCAGAGGCTGAATGTGGTGTTGGTGTGAGGGAAAGATAGCAATTAAAATTGGAGGATGAGAGGGCCAGACTTTGAAAATGCCATCATGTTGTGTAAAAGAGGTTTGCCCTGAAAGGATAAGGAGCCATTGCTGGGCTCAGTGAGGCTGAACCTAGTTAGGGCTTTGCCATGAAGACTCCCCCTTTCCCTCATGCCCCTCTGCTGTTTTTGTTCACTTGACTCCACTGAAGAGTGCTTTCTTTCTTTCTTTCTACTTAATATATATATTTTTTAATTTATTAGTTCTAGTTAGGGAACAAGCTTGTTTCACATTTAAGTCCCT